ATCGCGGTCCGGGTGTTTAAGGGCCCGTGGCCCGGCGGGTCGGGCCGGGTTGGGCCTTGGCCCGACACCTGGCCACGTCTATTTGTAACTGTTAGATCATTATATAATCGTAAATAATAGTTGATTTAACTGTTACAAATCCCGACGGAATGGTCCCGACAAATACGTTTCATTATAATGTACCCCGAAAGTTACGTACTATTAACCGCAGAATGGATAAATCATTACTTGAAACGAAATTAGAACATTAGAAAGGATTGGATAAGAGACACAATTGGCGAAAGATCTGAGCTAATTTTAGCAATTTCAGTTTAATCCGAAACATAAAAATTACGGATATAAATGGGGACCCAAATGAATGACTCAGTCTGACTCGGACCATGGACAGCGATCGGATAAGATCGCAAAGGTAAACAAAGGAAAGAAAGACACGTGTCAACCAGCCCTTTTCGGATAAGGACCCGTTTTCTAACCCCACATTATCATCCCCATTTTCTCTCTATATATTCAAATCAAACGCGTCTCTGTATTCACGAACACAAACCATTTCTTAGCGTCATTTCTTAGCAATTATTGGGTTAGGTGATACATTATTATTCTCTCACTACATTCGATTTCAGATTTTTTTGAAATTTATTCTTGCGTGTTTTTCTTCATTCTTGATTGTGGGATCTGCGTTTCGACAACTCTGCTTGGTTTTTTTTGAGGATTTAAGAAAAAAGGAAGATGTCTGCTGCTGTGGGTTGTGGGTCTGTATCGGGTTCTTGGGCTCAGGTTAAGGACAGAATTAATTTGGGGAATAGAAACTGTAGAAACAAGAATGGATTTAAGGTTAGCTGTGTGTTGTCTTCTTCTGCCGTGAGCGATTCGTACAGGACTCTGAGGATTCGTCCCGGTGCCTCTGAATCTGAGGTCAAGAAAGCTTTTAGGAAGCTTGCTCTTCAGGTATTTTTTTTCATCGTTTTTTTCTTCGATCTTGTTTTTTTATTCTTAAAAAAAGATGCAATCTTTAGATGGTTTGTCTTGGGAGCTTTTTAATTTTTTTGAAATGGGGTTTTCATTATGTAAATGGGTTATTTGAATGATTATTGAATTTGTAGGGATTTGATAGCTGCAGATCTAGTTTGTTCTATATTTTTTTTTTTTTTTTTTTTTTTTTTTT